CAAAGGTGGAGCTTATTATGAGGTGGTCTGGACCTTGTAGTTGGCTGCAGCTACGGTTAATTGAGGTTTTTACCTCAGTTAAGTGAGGCAAAAAACTGTGCTGCATTGTTTTTATTTTAGGCCTAATTTTTAATAGATCACTAATGGCGCTGTCAACAGCAGGATGCTGGACAGACTGCTACAGAAGATCCCTGCCTACAGCTATTCACAGCTATAAAACCTGCCCTTGACTTACTGCAACATCAAATTTTCCTTTGGGGACATTTTCTCACTTCTTCTCTGCTTCATTTTTATCTTACATGGAGTGACCTCTAAACAATAAAAACGACTACACAGCTGGTTATCAAAAAGATATGCAACATCATTTTCAAAATGAGGTAACTTTAACTTTTTATTAACAATATGAAGTAACTTCCTGTACTCTAAATGTTTGCACAAAACCCTTTAGCAAGCTTATTTATTGGACACAACACACATCTCTAACAAACTAAGCTCTTAGATTTTAAACTTAAAGGTATAGTGGAGAATGCTTGTGAATTTTTTTAAAGTACGTTTCAAGGACGCCCTATTCAACTCGTGTGAAAGTATGCACAAGCCCATTTGTCCTCGTGCACGCTCTGTTTAAAAGTAGCTGTTTGCATTGTTCATACAAGCTTATTTTCCAAAATGAGATTAGCAATTTTCCCACTATGTCAGACTCACCACCGGTAAGGGAAAATGGGGACGAGCATATAGGACGGCCTTACGTAAACATATCACCAAACTGAATGACAATTTGGAGGACCACTTATTTTGATGATCCACCTGGAAAAAGAAAATCCTCCACTATACCTTTAAGAGAATCAGTCAAAGATGTTTGAAAAATGTCCTTTTTGTTTTTTCCTAATAATAATAAAAATGAATCAAATCCATGCTTGCCTTAATCAACATTTATCTTTTTTTAATCACTTAGGTTTTCTCTTTGTTCCTTTGATCAACTTATTACTGTTAGCAATAAATCATATGAGAAAATAAATAAATCACTCTGGTTAAAAGCTCAAACAGAATCGGATCCCGTTGATTAGACACCACATGCTGTGTGCTCCACAGCACTTCTGGATCTACTGAAAATTCACATGAGGAATTTCCTTGTAATTCATGCTGAAGCACCAATCTTCAGGACCCACATAAATGCACATAAATAATAAGCAGCTGTCAAAGCGTGGACTGATGTATGACTGAGGAAGGTGCTCTGATTACATCTGTCTTTCAGTGATCATCTCTGCTGCCTGACGAGGCGTTCTTTGGGCCCCATGTTTACTCTGTCGTCCCGTTTCGCACTCACAGAGAATATGGATGTTATGGCATGCATTATAGATCAGAGATACCCGCTCAAGCAGAACCCCAAACGAGAGGAAGAAGTGTCTTGTTATTGTCTTATCAGCCCTCTTTGCTTCTCTTATCAGCTCATTTGCATAATTAACAGAGGCTGACAACGTCCTCACAAGCAGCTGCCTTCATAATTTCCCCAGTTCGGGTTTCTGTCCTGCTTCATAATAACAATAGTGTCAAAGCAAAGTGTTTGACATGTTAAATTCAGAAATTATTTTTTCCTTCTAAACCTGGATATCTTCAGAGAAAGATCAGCACTGTCACTTTAAATAGGGTCAGTGTCAGATCGTATCTATAATGTATAGAAAAGATACAGAAACTTAGCTGTAAAAGTTATACTCATACATATTTATTACATTTTTTAAAAATGACATTTAAAAGACGCACTTTCAGGATGCTGTAGCGGAGGGTTTGGTCTACTTCTTATTTTAGTTCATTATGTTTTGATACATTAGGAATTTTGTAAAATATGAGCCAATAAGGTTTGGGTAACACTTATTCTGGCACATTAATTGTTCACTATTTCATGCATTTTCAAGCTTTTTGCATCATTTCCAGCCGTTCTGACATCACTGTCTTAAACCTACTGATCAGATTTAGCTATAAAAATCTCAAAAACTTGTCCTCTAAAAATATAAGACCATCGTAAGTTTGTAAACTTTCTTTACGATTTCATGGCTAATTGTAAAATACACAGTAGACTCTCACCACATACGAACCTCTGCATCCTGGTGTGCTATAGATAAGCACATATTGCTAAATACGACTGTTTCAACATCAAATATCATCACTGCAGAATTTACAAATTGGTGTAACTCTCCTGATGTTACCATCACATTAAAGCCATTCTTTATTATTACAATGATATATTTTGGGATGGTTGGACTATTGGTCAGAGCAGTGCGCTTGTTCTCTGAGAAGGTTGCAGGTACCGGGTTTGATCCCCACAGCCTCCAATCTGGGTTCCTGAGCAAAACCCTTAAGCCCACACTGCTACCCGGGCGCTGCATGAGGGCAGCCTACTGCTCCCCAAAGGGATTTGTTAAATGCAGAAGTAAATTTCTCCAATGTGAGATAAATAAAGTTCAATTATTTAAGTATATATCAGTGGCATTTGCAATTTATGCAACTCTGGTTAGAACTTACATTTATTTACAGTTGAAGCCTTAAAGAAATTATTTCATTTCCTTCACTTTTCTGTCTCTTCATCATCTTATGCGTCTTTGTGTTGGATCAGACTAAACAGTAGCTGGCAGTAACAGAATGCTTTAGCAAACAGCTAATCAGAGCTGGCCTTTGTGTCAAGCTCATTTGCAGTAAAACTTTGCAGCATTAGCATTTGGTTCAGTGTTTTTCAGTTTGCTTTCAGAAGTCAAACTATATGCAACTCTAAAAGTCCCACATATTTTGTTAAGCCTTCAGTAGCTTCTTCTTCTTCTTCTGCTGGGTAAATTAAACCTTTTCATGATACACTGAGTAGCAGTGAATATGATTTTACTAAATTCTCTCAACATTTAATTATTGCTTAAAAGCAGACCAATTTTGCAATGCTGGGTTATTGCTCCAACGTTTCAGTTCCAGTTGGATGGGTTCTTTTCTGGTGGTGTATATGGACTGTTTATATAACTTCAGAGGGCACAATTTTATGACATTTTTGTAAATATCTGTGGCAGTGTTGCTTTGCTTTTAAATAAACTATGCGTGCGTAGTGCTAGGAGCATTATTTTTCCCATGACATTGTTTCAGCACCACTGATATTAAACACAGTAACAGATTATAAGAGTCTAATGTTCTTACAGACAGATTTTGAGTCTAATCTCACATGTTAATCATGGTGAAAAGAAGGACTTTCGCTAAAAAAAGAGCTGATCCTCTTATTCTTGTCTAAAGGCTTTTTTATTCCCTCAAAGAACCGACTTGAATTGTATCAATCATGCTGATCCACAACTACCATCTCTTGGCTTGTGCTTACAGGGCAGATCTTGATATCTACAGTTTTTATTTCTGCCAAAGCGTCACGCAAACGGGAAGGCTGTTGGTTCTGGTCTGGGTCATTAGATGCTTTGGTGTTCCTCTGGTGTTTTTTTGAAGAGAATTAACTGGAAGTGTGGAACACACATCGGAGGTGGAAACCTCTTTATCTGACTTTATCGGAGCTAGCTCCAACTCAGTCTAGTAAGTCTTCCTGATTATCTTTTAATTAGATATATATGAACCTGAGGTCAGCACTTCTCCGGGCTGTGCATGGTTCCACCATGTGAAGCTGATTAACCAATCAGAGCCTACCTTGGACAGATATGTCATGTTAGAAATCCCCTTAGAAAAAGCTATTATAATTTTAAAGAAATTAAAAAATGGCAAGCTAATAATAATTAGATGTTCTTTTTTATTCTAATTTTAAGTGTTTGAATTTTAAATAGTTTCACCAGTTGAAACAAAGGTTCAATTGAAATTTTGAATAATTTTTAACTTTTCTACTATATTTTAAGATGATTATAAGATCTTCTATTGCATAATTTAAAAATCCAGGATCCAGCCTCAGAGGAATAAAAGTTAAAATTGTTTTGACGTGAATGTTTAGTTAGGACATTTTGAAGTGACCTTAAGGAAAGGTGGTTAAAGTAGGTGAAAGGTCAAATTTTGTCCTGACAGAACAATGGTTAGGCAACATTGGTCATTTTGATTTTAGGCCTGTTCTTCCTGCTACGTGTCATAACAGTTGAGTTTTTAAGCTTTAATAAAAGTGCTTGTGCAAATTCTCATTCATCTGGATCAAGGCAACCAAAAATACAGGCTTAAATCTGTGACTCAGATTTTGCAAAGGCAGTTTGGGAACAATACCCTCACGTTGGTGCAGGACTGTGAGCATTTTTTCAGAAAAGCCTGCAGATTATAGAAACCATCTTTGGTTCAGTCTGAGATGCAGACAGCAAAGGCTGCTCCCAAACAGCCTAACTTCAGCAACCCAGGAGAACGACGAGTGGGTGTTTGTTTTGCATCTGACTTGGAATGTGCTTTGGAGGACGGACCTCCATGTTGCTTAAAAACAACAAGCCCAGTTTCCTCAAATTTAAGCCTTTTTGTGTGGCTGAAATAAAAGCATTTATTAACCTAGATTCCTTTGTCTCTCTTACTCATCAGTGGACATTTAAATTACATCTGCCTCTTTCTTTAACTTCTTTTCCTAAATTAGAGAACATAACCGAAAGCATTTTTGGTGCTCTATAAGTAGATTTTAATCTCCTTACTGAGGCTTTACTTTCCTTCACTCTTAAACATGTTCATTCAGGCTAGAAATATTCTCTACTTATTTGCTGTTTTACTGTTTTTATCTGACAGTGGTGCACACACTGCAGAGGGAGAATGTGCTGTGTATTCTGGATGTCCTTATAATTACATGTGGAGATCAGCTGATTTAGCACAGCCCTGTGAAAGAAAAAAAATACTCTGAGGAAGGTGATTTGAAGCGTTATCTGGCTCTACCATTGTTTTTATCCGTAGCTCCTGTAAAAAGCTGTTCTTTCCGTTTCCTTTGCGCCACACACATCGCCTCCACATTCACTCTGTCTCTAACCTTCACATTCCTAATAAGCTTGTCTTTTTTCTCTCTGTTCTTTCTATTCCTGCAGGCTCGCTGACGGTGTCCATCACAGACATGCGTGCTCCAGTGGTGGGGGGCTCCGGGGGGGTCTACGCTCTGTGCTCAGCGCATCTGGCCAATGTTGTCATGGTAACTACCATCATCAGCAGCCGCATCATTGTTGGGTCTAAAATCAGTTTTCAGAACAGAAACACCCACCGACCGACATTCTGTCCTCTCTGCTGACTGTTTTTCTTTAGAAGATGGATCATTTTCTAACAATCAGATCACATGGATGTCAGATACTTTTGGTTTTGCCCAGGGCTTGATGTGAGACGGTCGTTAGATAATGGAGGCCATCATCTTGTTGTCAGCATTGTTTTCTGCAGTCTCCTGTACTTAAAAAAAAAAGTTAATGATTATAATCAAGAAGCAGAAAGCAGATTTCCTTGCAGCTAATTGAGAGCTTTTCTCATCTCAAAATGTATGACTGTGTGCTTCCTGTCACCCCGGTCATATCTCAGATGCCTTTCGCATTCTCTTCCCCTGTCAGGCCTACATTAGATCTGGCGAATTCGCTGCAGCCGCCTCAGCGACGCTGGTCATCAATGTGTGCCGGCGGTCCAGAATCAAATCTTAGCATTTAACTTTCTGCTTGGTCCGTTACGCACAATAGTGGTTGGTTTATTTGGGGACATCCTAGAGACACCTCCTTGTTCTGCTGTGATGAATTTTTATTTTCATCTTTTTTCTTCTATAAAAGAAAGTGTGTATTTTTTTTCCAACTTGTGACAGTAAATTTCAACCCATTTGTCATAAAGTATCATCATCCGGTTCAGTCAAACCCCATTTTCAGCTTCACTGAGACTTCAACTGCTGCTTTGTGTCAAATCTCAAGAAGACAAGTTTCTCACGTCAGATTTGATTATTTCAATAAATTCTACTTTTGGCATATAAACATAAAACAGTGCCCTTCACACTTTCCAGCACCTCTGGTAAAGTTTTCTCAAAAAGACAAAAAAGAACAAAACTTTTTGAAGCCAGGAAAACAGAAACCCAATAATTCTTTCAGAATAGAATAGAATAGAATGGAATAGAAAACCCCTTTATTGTGGGGAGATTCTGATGTTTACAGCAGAAAATAGATTATAGAAAAAAGCTCCTTTATTCAGGATCCAAATCAGCTTTATTGGTTTAGATTGTGTGAACAAACAAGGACTGTGACTCTAACACTCTAATCATAGTCAATCAATATGAATACATCAACTTAAGAGGAATAATGATAAAACTGAGAGGAACGTAGAACATGTGCATGTCTATGTAGAGCCAGACCACTCAGACTGTAAGGTTGTTAATTCTGTGAATCAAAGAGACAGCCTGGAGGTACAAACTGTTGTTTTTTTATAAACAGCTTAGACCTGAAGGTAAAGATTAAACTGTTTTATTTCCATAGAATGTCATCACTAATATTATCTTTCTTCTGTTCTATACCAGTCAGAGCAAACCAGCAAAAAACTGATGCAAATTAAATTACACACCGTTGCATAATGCCCAAAGACTGCTAGATCAACCTGGGCGACTTCAAAGGTTATAAAATGGCAGCTGCAAAAGTCCAGTGAGCTCATATCTGTAAACTGAGCAATATTTATAACTGGAACAGAAACGTACTGAACAGGACTACAGTTTGGGGTTGTTTTATCAATAGCATTAATGCTTCCTAACAAAAAAAGGGTCTAAAAGATTTGTTACCAGCAGCTGCAACTGATCTGAGGTGAAAGCCAAAATAACAAATAACACCTCTTCCCAGATTTGAAGGAAGGGGAAGGTTCTTTGAGACTCTCTGTCTGCTTATCTGAAGATTTATCTGATTTTTGAAGAACTTTTTAGATAAAAGTCTGTTGGATATGTATCCTACACTGATTTGTTAGATACTGGGACTTTACCTGCACTGACCCTTCTGTCCTGTTCCTCACATAAAGTTTAATTCATATATTTTTACTATTTTCCACCACAGGATGATAGAGGGTTAACACTGGTGCAGGATCATATTCCCTTAGCTCTGCACTTCAAGATGAGTCAGATTGCTGCAATTATTCATCTTGTGACATTAAGGCTTTAAAAAGGCTAGATCCTCTCACTCCAGGGGACCACAGCAGTTATTTACTTCCCCATTTTCCCTTTTCCTTTCTATGATCACAGTCCCAGCTAATAGGGAAACACTGGACTGGAACCAGTTAGATGAGATGGGAATAATCAGCCCCCCGTTTCAGTGCTTCTTTCTCTCTCAATTGGACATGAGATAGATGAAGCTGTTTCTATTCTCATGTGTGATGTTGGTTTGGGTTTGTAGTTCTGCACTGATCCCTTTCTTTGCTTTTTGTTGTAGAACTGGGCCGGGATGCGCTGTCCATACAAGCTGCTCCGCATGATCCTGGCACTGGTTTGCAGTATGTTCTCTGATTTACTCTCTAAACTCTGTCCTCCTTTTTCATTTTTATTAGCTCTTTTTTTATTGCCTGCCTGCATAAAAACATAACAAGGCTTTAAAATCAACTTGCATGTTTTAAGAAGAGCTATTACCAAAAGCATCCCAGTTTGTAGCTCCTAGTGAGAGATAGAAATGACCCGACATGCTCCTTTGTTTATCAGGCTTACATCTTGTCCCTTTTGTCCACATGAGGGCCGATACTGTCCGACTGGCATTAGAGAGCAATATGTTCCCTCCATCTGGCCGGAGCCAACCGCCCCCAAACCCTGCTGGAATGTTAGATTTCTCTTCACTGTTTCTCAAACAGTCGATGGATGGTCCAAAATAAAGTCTGACACTTTATCCTGCATGCTTCAGTGCAAAACTGAATCATCATCTTATTTGCTGTGGTGTTTTGGCATCATTGGAGAGTTTTTGTTCATCCAAGGGGACATCTGGTAAAACAAAATTGGAGCTCAGTCTTATGGAAAAAAAAACATAAATTAAAATCCTCCAGCAGCCATCTAAAAATGAGATAATTAAACTTTAAAGTGTTAAATTCACTGTACAAAAAAAAAATCTGAAATCGTGGTTTTTCATACTAGTTGTTTTTTAATACTTCAATGCAGTCAAAGAGAGAAATAGCTTTATAAATCCATCATGTATGTCCAGAGCCACACCCAATTAGCCCCCCCTTGTTAGCATTTTCTGCTGAAGATGCCTAAAAAGGCCGGAAATGAATTTATTCACTTAGAAAAATATCCCATGTGCCTTTTGTCACCTTCTTCTTTTTGGGTATTAAGCCAATGTAACAAGTAACTTTCTCCACTGTGAGATCAATAAAGTAAATCAATCGACCAAACAATAATATAAGTGCTTTCAGAATTATTAGCATCCCTCATAAAATTAATTTAGACTCTTTTTTTTTATCACAGTTTTACAGAACTTTTGATTTCAATTCTTTAACTTCAAAATTTTCCACTAAGATATAAACCAGATATCTAAAAGCCAAGGAAAAACAAGAAATGGTAAATGCACAGATGTAAATTAAACATCAGTTGATTTTCAAGACTCAAGAAGTTGTTAAAGATAAGCTCGACTCAGCCAGAGTTTAACTTAAAATGTTTAAACATGGTTTAAACTCTGTGAAACAAGGCTGAATGATGCTCACTGTCGAGGAACATCCACAAAAAAATCATCCTTTTCAATAACAAATGCTCAATGTGGGTTTGGCTTAAAACCAACCAGGGATGTGTGGAAGAGCCACTCGTGCTGACTGATCAGTGATGATGGGGGCCTGTTTCTTTCGCAAAGGCCCTGAAAGCCTTGTGAAAGACCATGTCATCATAAACATTGACATATGTGCCAGGAAGCTGCAGAACAGGTTGTCCGTTGGTCCGTCATCCAAATAAGTATAACCGTAGTTTTTTTCTGAATGTACAAATCATAACTGGACTCAAATAAAAGGTTAGGTTCTCCTCCATCCATCCATTTTCTCCCGCTTAGTCCTTCCCTATCACTGGCAGTCAATGGGCAGGTTGCTAGTCAGTTGCAGGGCAACACAGAGGCATGGAACCATGCACACAAACACACCTAGGGAGAATTTAGAGAAGCCAATTAACCTAACAGTCATGTTTTTGGATTGTGGGAGGAAGCTGGAGTACCCGGAGAGAACCCATGCATGTTCAGGGACAATATGCAAACTCCATGCAGGAAGAATCGAACCCAGAACCTTCTTGCTGCGAGGCAACTGTGCTATCCACTGCGCCACAATGCAGCCCAAGGTTAGGTGTTCTATTCCTTTTTTGAGTAGTATAACAGTACCATATTAGTGCTTGGAGTACCATTAAGGGAGGAAGGTTCTGTTGTTCTGTAGGTTAATACTTTCACATTCATATTATCCATAAAAAAAAACACACAGGAACAATTGGGTTTTCACTCTCCTCTATCTATAAGATAAGCTGCCTTTGTTTTGCCATAGAATATGAGTGTTTCTCTGAATCATGAACCATTCATTAAAAATCTCTTTCCGTCTGTCCTTATCCCTCAACAAGACCAATTAACAACTATTAATCAGTCTTTGTCCTCTGCTTTGCTTTGCTTTGCCCTGATCTGCAGTGAGTTCAGAGGTAGGCCGTGCAGTCTGGCTCCGGTTCTCTCCACCGCTGCCATCCTCGGGCCCCCAGCCCAGCTTCATGGCCCACCTGTCGGGGGCCGTGGTCGGCATCAGCATGGGGCTGCTCATCCTGCGCAGTTACGAGGAAAGTCTGCAGAAGCAGTGCTCGTGGTGGGTCATCGTCTTCTCCTTCATCACTTTCCTCCTCTTCGCCATCTTCTGGAACATCTTCGCCTATGAGCTCCTCGGGGTACAGATCCCGCCTCCCCCCTGATGAAGGCCCCCCCCTGCTGCTTTTCATTTTAATCTTGATTTTCTCCAAAGTTATACCCAAATGAAATCGTTCAAAAATCCAAAAAGAATTCTTTTTTTACAGATACTTTGCAAATCAAAGAAATCTTTCTCTTTTATTAAAGAGGGATTACAGTAGCAACAAGTACAGGTAAAGATTCCTCAGATACATTTTGAGGAGCATTCTGTCTTTTTTTATGAAAAAAAAAATACATACAGAACTTCATCCACATCAACTCATCATTTGTTTTACTTTTGCTTCATTCATACAAAGACCTCAAATAAGAAGATGCTGAGATCATCATATGTGCCTCTGGTGGGGAAATAAATGTTCTGTACGATCGGCAGCTGCGGTGCTCCTTAAAGTTAAAGGAGTTACTGACCCGGAAATCAGAATCTGCAGGAAAGAATTTCTGGACAAGCTTTTTCTTTTTTCTTTTTCGGAAGACAACATTAAAACTAAACCCAAAAGCTGCAGTGATGTATTATAGTTAGTGGTTGTCCTGCTGTAGCTCAATGGGGTCCCGTGGCTCTTTTTCTCTAAGCTGCTTGCACATCAAACTGAAAAACGCAACAAATACTCAGAGAGAGGACCTAAAAATCTCTAGAGCAGTTCCATGCTTTTACTTTGATCTGCATTAAACTTAAAGATTGGAGGTGCACTGAGAAATTGACTGCAGACTGGAATCAATCCGCTGTCAGTCAAATCCTTGAAAATCTGTTGTTTATTTTCAATTTCTTCATTCTCTACTACCTCTATCAACAAAACCCAACCAATTTTTTTATGATACATGTCCTAGAAAATAACAATTGTGATAGGTCAGATATAAAACCAGCAGGTATGACCTGCAGGAAAACTCGAAATAAGTATCACCAGTAGCAGGTTGATGGGTGCATCTCCACTAAAGAAACTCTTAGTTGACTTTACCAGTTCATCTAGACAACATATCTCTGCATTTTTTCTTTGTCATGACACCTACACTGTGGATACAGAGAACAGTTCACACACATGCAGACACACATCCTTAGCGCAAAGAGACAAAGTTAGAGAAGACTGAGACCAGAGAGAAGAGGCAGTCCATCACTTCAGCAACTGAACTCCTCTCATTGATGCGCAGACTTCAAGTTTGTACCTGCTCAGTCCACCATGTAAAATATGCCATGTCATGCTCTGTTGGTTTTGGAACAAGAACACGCACACACGCTGTTCTCCGATCTATATTTGAGAGTAACTGCTGCCTGATTCTGTCGGTTAACGCGGGTGAACCGACAACACACATGAAAACAATACGCGTGGTTGCCTCAGACATGTCCTCTCACTCAAAAAAAAAAAAAAAAGAACTGCGATGGGCGAAGACTTTTTACCATCTGACCTCTGACCTGCGGGGTTACGGCATCAGGCCAAGTTAATACCTCAGTTTCTCATTGTTTTTAGGGACTATACATTTGTAAAGGAATGTAAATGTAAAAAGAAAAAAAAAGCAAAGGTGTTATTCTGTTGTCCGTTTTTCTTTTTTATATAGTGGATGTGTTTCCTGTATGCTCTCAACCAAGACTATATTTATTTGTATTTTCCCCCTTTGAAGGGGAAAGGTGGAGACTTTTCAAATGGTGCAAAATAACTAGGAAGATTGTGCTGATAAATCCTGTATGACTTTGATCCTCTAAAAAAAAAAAAAAAAAAGGGCGGGGTTGGTTTATTAGGCAACAACCAATAAGATTTTATAAATCTTCAGTTAGTGCTTTATGTGATAAGCCATAGGGAAGAATAACAGTATGGAGGGTCAAAAGTGCCACAGTTTCATATGTAAATTAATAAATTTGTAATTCTTTATGTAAATGGCAATTAGAAATAAACTCACTAAATAAATTAATCTATTCTTTGTTAATTATATGGGCTAATAATTATCAAATGATATAATAGAATAAGTAAAAATAATAAAAGAAAAAAGTCAATTGTTTATACATATTGCTCTTTATTGTATGTTTTTGCCCAAATAAGCACTTGCAAATATATTAATAATTCAATGAGTGGGTCTAAACTTCCATAGATTTTTTGGATGTTTGGGGGTAAACCTGCCAGAGTGTTTAAATTATTTCATGGCACTCTGAAAATAAATATTCAAATAACTGCACGTTAATTTTAACGGTTAATGGCATCGAATCTATAATTATAAAAGTCCACACTTGATATCTGTTTTTGCTTTTATTTTTTTTTACCAGTTTTTTTTTCATCTATTGGTGAGTTTATACATTTTTTGACACACTTTAATTGACTTTTTATTAGAATATATATGATTGTTTTATGATATAAAGTTAATAATTGTTTAAAGATATATATTAATGATAATAATTTAGTGGATTGTGGAACCTCAGTTCCTTTCATGAGGAGGTCCAATGTGCCAAATATTAATAATTAAATTGTTTTATCAGGGCTAATATGTTGCATCAATTTATACATGCATACAGATAAATGAATTTGATCATACTAATTTTTTATATATTTAGATTTTTTTGACACTTTTTGACACTTTTAGAAATTATTTGTTGTTTAGTTAAAGAATATGAAATAAACAAATTAAGAGTCAATCAGTTGGTGGGAATGAACACAATTTTAAGTATTGCAAGGCATAATAAAAAAACTGAAATACAACTATATGATTTCAATATATGAAATGTTTAATTGATTGCAACATTCAACCATTTAATAGCCATTTAATGCTTTAAATTATAAGTGAATAGATTTATTTAATTATATATTTTGTTTCTGATTCTCCCTAAGTTCAGAAAAATATAAATAATATTTGAATCATGTCACATATTAATTGGAGCGTGGGACTTTTTTCCCTTTATATAACCGATGAGGGAGGGTTTTTGGTTTGGTTCTGTTGAAAAGGCTTTGTAGAAATGCGTGAGAGTGTGTGTTTGACCATAAATGATGTGAAATTAATTTCTTTTGTTCATGCCTGTGAAGCTCTGGACTGTTTAAGATATTTCCATGTAGCTAAATTTTATGTTTTTTTTATTTTGTTTTTGTTTTTTACTTCCTGTTTATAAAGTTGTAGTCAATTCAGCGTTTTTTCTTGTTTTTTTAACATCCCCCCCCACCCACCCTTCAGATAGCAGATGCCTCACTACAGCTATGCTTATAACAAATCGAAGACCAGGTTTCCGTCTCTCCGGGGATATTCAAGCAATTACATTTACTCAATACTACGTTTTATGTTTTAGTCTTTCAGTCAATAATTCCGTCCTAAGGCTGCCGAAGGGGATTTTGAGGGGATGGTCTTGACAGGCAGCTGTGCTCAGCATTTGCTTCTGCATGAAACTGTCAGCAGAGACTGAAGGGTTCTCATTAAAAGAGGGAATGAGTATGAAATAGCTACAATAAAGCATTTTCAGATCAATTTGAACTAGAAGAGTTCTGCCAATATTTGACAGTGATGTATCTTTGGTGGAAAAATCTGTGTATGTCAGGAAATATTCCACTAATCCTTAGCATAGTTAAGATATTTTGGTGAAAAATGCTTACATACCCTGTTAACCTGTGATGAAGATAAAAGAAGAAGCTTCAGAGAGGGCAATGTACCTCTGTTATTTAGGATTCATAGGAAATCAAAAGGATTGGGGCAAAAAAGGCCTAGTAAAGGGATCTGATTTGTGGAGCACATTGCTGGATGAATTTTCAGTTGTTCCACTTAAAACGGATTGAGTTTCAGCAACAGCCGGAAAGATAAGGAACAAAAATGGAGAAGCTTTCATGCATTTCTGTGAGCCAAATTTTGAGAACATCCAAAAACAAACAAAAGCTGATTGACGAATGACATGAAGCTGTATGGATTTGGGACAGTACTGTTTGAGAAAGCAAGCAGATATATATTTGAAGTAGTATAATCCATGGCCATTGGGAAAAAACTGAGCCTGAAGAACTTTCATTTAAAGATATTTATCAACGATATCAAAGATTTTTTTTTAAGCAGGGTTGTGTGGAAAGCTCACTTGTAGTCAGTAATTTATTTGTAGTCGTCAGCAGGCAAAGTGAACTTTGAGCTTTTAGGATCTGACCCTAACACCTTAATGGACCTTAGACACAATAAGAGAAAAAACACTGATTTGCTCTGTACTGAAAAAGTGCTTCCAGACGTCAAAAATTGACTTGCTTTAACAAGTAGACTCCCTAATGAAAATCTTCAAATTTAAATGACTATCACCATTGTCTATTGCAGCAAAGCTTGCATGCTACAGATCCAAACTGCTCCATTAAGAACAAATGTTATGATGCTAGAAGATGTTTGGAGTAACTTTAACCCAGAGAAAAGTGGAAGGGGTGGCAATTGCAGACTTTAGTTTCATTAATAATTATTCAGCAGATCTGTACTTCTTTTCCTTTCAAGCTGGTTTTTAATGCAACTCTGTGAAACATTTGTGCTGTTTTCATTCAAACTGCATATCAACCTGATAACATGACTTTTATTTTCTAAGTGTTCCAGACATATTGTGTCTCACTTTTGGTATAAGCAGACTTTCTGTTGCTTTCTGCAAAAATGAGATGCCAAACCACTGTCCTAATATGTCTAATGCCTTGTTATATAAAAGCCCAGGACTGAGCAAAGGCTGCTGTATGATACAATTTCTGAAATCCTGTACAGAATCTGTGTGAGAACCAAGCCGTAGTGCTAAAATCTGTAGCTGCTCTGTGCCAACAAGCCCCGCCAGGTTGCCTTTTCTTAGCGTTTAGTTCTTAGATTGAGGTAACTCTCAGTGCAGGGCTGTAAAAGGAAAACAGGCTGTTGTAGCTCTTAAAATCAAACGCATTCATGAACAACAGGCATTTATAATCCGGTGAACATTTTCCTTAACTTTGTTTTTAACGGGGGCCAACAAAAGGTGTTTAAAATCCTTTTGAGTTTTCATTGGTATAAAAACATCAAGATATGTACTACAATTTCTCATTTAAATGCATTTTGTATCAGAAATTAAGCATTAGTGTAAAACAAGCAGCTCTTCTTTTAAGATGATTTTCTGCTCAGTTACATCCTATCTATTTATTTTTCTTTTCATTTTGTGGCTCGGCTGCAGATTATTCACACGTTCACAAAAAATGAGCAACTCCTGGCCATGTATATAACCTTGCAGGTGATTTGTTAAAATGAGATTAGACAAATGTCATCCCTGTGCTGCTGTGGTAGTTTTTCATGAGCTGCTTTCTCGTATCGATAAAATGGTGCCAAGCTTACGAGGCTCAGTCTCAGTCAGAAGAGGTTGTGCCAAAACAGCGTTTACAAAATAGGAAGAAAAGAAGCAGAAGAAGAAGCTATTTTCTCTGGGTCAAGACAAAACTAAAGAAAACACAATGTGGATAATTTATATCCAGGTCGTCATGAATTACTTCACAAACTATTGTACTTTTTAAATGTTCTGAATGGAACCATTTTATATTGTATATATATATATGAATATATTTTGTTTTATTTTGTACTGTTCATTGTACTTTGCTTTAATTTAGAAACAATATAAATAAAGAATACTATGGCCACATTGTGCTGCTGCTTTTGGATTTCTTGACAGCTCTCACCAAGTGAAACATAAGCCTCCAGTAACTCCAACTTGGAATTCATTTCATTCAATTTGTGCTTTTAACAAATTATTTCATCTTTTTTTTCTCTGTTTGATCTTACAAAGATCTTCAAAGACTTTTTAAAACAAAGACATAGGGTATGCATTTGAATTTATTGATTAAATGAGGTAATAAAGGCTGTAATATGTAAATCAGTTTTGTTAAATGTCTCTTTAAAAACAGCTGAGCTCAACCAAAGACTTGTGCAGCCTTAAACAAGTTTCAGGATTGATGTATTAAAAAATTTATCACCAAAACTATTAAACTATTTAAATATAGCTTTAGATGTCTAGATTTAGATGTTAGTCAGCCCAATCCATTGGGTGTTGAAATTAGGTGAGAGCATTTAGGGTAGGTAGGATCCTTCCATCTGCAGAAATCTTTTATTGATATGAAGAGTGATATCTGATATATATATATATATATATATATATATATATATATATATATATATATATATATATATATATATATATATATATATATATATATATATATATATATATACTGTATATCAAACCCTGAAAAAACAATATGATGTAATGTAGGGTACAATATTAACTTAAATCAGTTTTTTCCTTTACAAAGACAAGAATTTAAGGAATTTAAGAATTTATTATTTTTTTTGACAAATTTTTGATTAAAATGAGGCTGTAAGGTTTGAAAAGACCCGCATTCTACACTTAAGAAAAAAAAAATGCACATGCACAACCCTGTACCTGCTACATAGATTTGAGATTTTTCCACTACTGTATGTCAGACTCACCACTGATAAGTGAAAATGGTGGTGAGCACGAAGGCCTTATCCATCCAGAAAAAGAACATCCTCCACTATTACCTTTTAGTCATTAAATTAAACTCAAAGCATTCAGACATGAATTCATATTTCTAACCTTAATTTGTAAAACCTTAATTGCTTAATTTTACTGTTTCAATCTGAAACATTAGTAAAACTAGGTTTCCAGGTGTTAGATGTGTAATAAAAGAAGAAGTTTAAAAAGAAATGCTGTATTATATTACATGGTTCTTTTCTGGGAAAATAGGAAGTTTGAGCTTTTCAATTTCACTTTAAAAGGAAAGAAAGATATCTTCCACATTATCCATCTGTTGCTTTTTTGATGAGTCGAATAGGTTATTCTTTCTTTAAATTTTATAGAATTGGTACCTTTGACAGAAACAATCTTACATCATGCCACCACCATGATGCCTGGCAGAGGATAGAGATTTTAGCTTTGAAATCTTCACCTTGATTCACACAGACATGTTATTATGCCCTAAAAGCGGAATCGCTTTCTGCTCTGATCATGATTTGATTTTTCCAGGTCTTTCCCTTCATCTGAAGAGACAATTTGAGTCAGCTGGCCGAAGCTTAATAGAAAGTTGACTGTTTTAGCAGAACAATGATCCAAAACATACCAATTCAAATTAATGCTCGAATTTGGCAAATGGAGGAGATTAAAGATACCGGTAATAGCTTGTTGAGAACTACAATAAATATCTGATTTCTCAATAAGTCAGTAAAGCTCTAAAAAGCCACTAATGAGAGGATTTTTAAGTTCTGAGGAGAACCGTTACTAAACAGTCAAATTAAGAATTTTGCAACTGAATATAAGCAAAAATTAAACATATGGATCAAAATTTCTTTCAGGCATAGAATTTCTTCTGTACAAAAACAACTTTATTATTTCAGTAAAAAAAAAAAAGAAGCAGACACTTAAAACCTCAAGCGGTGGATGTTTTTTGGATTATTAAGAAGCCTTCAGTTTCTTTGCTGGTCTCTGCTCAGAGTCTGGGTCTGAGGTCTGCTTCTGTGTGCGGCTGCCCTTCACTTTGAGATCCTTCAGAAGAGGAAGCTGCTGCTTTGTGGCTGTGGTCATCGCCCACAAACATAACTCCAGCCTGTGGGGCGTCCAGTCCTGCTGTGGATCCACTGAAGACAAAATTCACAGCAACAGCTCGTCATTTGGTCCAACAAGCTGAAAAACGGCTGTTGATCCAGGAGAGTCTTTGTTATCATCCTACCTTTGTTTAGTTTTGCAGACTGTGCAGTAATTTTCTCCAGGTACAGAGCATAGTGTTTAGCTGTGTACTGGATGGGCGTCAGACCGGGCACGCTCTCCATAGCTTCATCAGACATGAACGCAGTGAGTTCTGGAGCTCCAGCTGCCAGCACCGCTGGAATAAAACGGACAGTCAGCCACAAACCAAGCTGTATGCAGGGATGGAGAGAATACAAAATGTTTCAGGACAGGGCCTACTAAGCTGTCTGATGCCTTTCAAACAGGATGTGAATTTATTAAGAAATCAATCACCAAGTCCTCTAAGAGACCCCTTTGTATCACTGTTTAATATTGAGCTTTACAGGGTGAATAACTGCCGCTTTATTCATGCACAGATAAAAAAAAATAACCTGAAGCAGTGGCAGGGCCAACTCCTTTCAGGGTGCTGAGCTCTGCGATGGCAGCCTGCACATCAGGAAGGAGGCTGAATGCCTTTCTGGAACATTTTTGAATAGTTTCCTCACTGTTGGAAGCCACCAACTGCTGCAGCCTCGGCCTGAACTTCCCCCTCTGGAGAGACAAAAAGGACCATTCGGATGATGTATGTGGGATATTTTACGGGGTGGTTATGGTAGGAGTGTGTGTGACGCTCATTTGTAGAGGAGAATGGGGAAAGCCTTACAGTGAGCTTCCACTCCATCAGTTTCACCAGCTCCGGCTGAGTGAGGTGTTTGTCAGGTCGACTTGAAATCAGAGCAGGAAGCTTCTCCTGGTACCTGATCACAGACAAACAGTTCGGGTAGTTTTAATCATACAATGTTAATCTAAAGGAGAAAAAAAAGTCAAATAGAAAATAAGGTATTATGTAAACACATGGATTCCAGCAAAGTACTTTACAAGACTATCCAATAGAAAATTAGTTGTATCAAACATGGTGGTGAGACCATCATGATGTGGGAATGCTTTTCTGAGTAGGAACACTGGTAAGGCCTCTCTGAAAACAAATTAAGGAAGGGCATTTCTGTTGCTTGGATCCAGGATCTTGTTGTTTGAGTTATTAATTCTTATTTCATATCTGAAGATTAGGGTAATACCAACCATAGACATGTATGTCCCTGCTTTGCTGAAGATGAGGTCAAATCCCTCAGCTTTCCATCTTTGTACATCTTCTCTTAAAGACCCACCACCATGGACTGTTCTCCCTGCTGCCCTCTGGGAAGAGACTTTGCTGCATTCGATGCAGGACCAGATTCTGTAACAGCTTTTTCCATGCTGCCATTAGGCTGTTGAAACTGTTGAAACTCTAATCAAGTCACAAATCTGGATTCGGCATCACGCTTGTAAATATATTTGCACTACATTAGATTAGATTAGATGAGCTTTATTGATCTCACAGTGGAGAAATTCACTGGTCATATATTGGCATAGTAAATAAAGAAGGTGCAAACAAGGAGGAAAAGGTGCATTAAGAATAAACAAGCAAGCACTGTATATACAGTATATCAAGTTAAGAATAATAATTGAGGTGCAAGTGTACATGTATCACACACAATGAAAAAAAAATAAAAATAAGAAATAAAAAAATAAAAAATACAATCGATTAACACAGAGATTTGAGGTAACGTATGTACAATCAGGATGGCTTTTAGGAACTTGGGATGTCTGCTATTCAGGTGTTGAAAAGACAAAGACCCTGAGGTAGACTGTAAGACTCCATTCTTCAAATATTCAGAATAATGGGTACTAATGTAACTTAAAAATGCAATTTGCAGGTGGTCTAAAATGGGTGAGGAGGGTTGCAGCAGAACAGCTGTACCCCCATTTTCAATGGAAAACTGATGTTCATAGAGGCTGTTCATCAAATCAAAGTAAACAAGAAGTATTTATCAAAGAAGACGGAGCTAAAATTACCATTTATCAAGCTGTAGAAGCTTGGGTTTCTTATCTTTGGCTCGGGCCTCCACCACATCCCAGTACTTCTCATAAACTCTCCTCCATGTGGCAGCTTCATCGCAGCAAAACAGCGCGCTCATGGCAGATGTCACAGCAACAGATAAAACGCAGCACAAAAAAATGGTAAGTTAATAAAAAAAAAACAAAAAAACTAAGCTGTCTGACTTGTGCAGGATTCCTTCCTCTTAAACTGAAGTTTGCCTCTCTACCGAAATCCCGCGAGATGTCAGCAAAATACTACTTCCGGTGTCGAAAGCAGTTAGGAATAGCTCCAGAACTCAATGTTTGTAGTTTGAAACAATTTGATTTCTTTTTGTTTAGGTGGATACATTTGTTACGTTTTTTTGCAACCCAGTTTTCTACAGCTTTACGCATGAAGCCTTCTTCTGGGGTTTGTGTCTCCACTTCGTAACGGTTCTGGGAACACCGGCTAACGTTAGCATCACAGTGCTGTCTTGTTTATGGTGGAAGTGAGGAGGGTGTTCAGTGAGTTTAGCTCCTTTCTCTTTTACTCCCCATCAGGCCGAAGAGATGGAAGGAATCTAACTTTATTACTTCAACAGATATAAAAGGGGAAAGAGGTTCCATAAAGGGCAGCCTCAGTCTGGATGATGTTCTTCAAGCACATGTTGCTCGAGGGATGATCTTCATGTGAGCACAGAGAGTCTGCTTATCCATCAGGTGATTGGAGCGTGTTATAAGGCTGAATTTCAAATTATTTGTAGTGGAAAACTTTCATAAATGCAAAACCTTACACTCTTGGTTTTAATTATTCTTATAATTTTATTTCATTTATATATTTAAGTATTTATATATTTAAGTATTGCAAGGAATAAAATCTTGACATTAGGCATTGGGTATGCGATTCTCACTTAATAAGATGCCTTTGTCTTCCACCACTTTTTTTTTTAGATATAGCCTTTTTATGACATCTGTCAAAAAAGAAGGAACCATACTTAGATAAAACTACACCAAAAAAGAAAGAAAAATGTTCTTATGGAAAGTGAGTAAAACATCCAGCCGGCAAGGTATTGTACAAAATAAAAAAATAACTTAATTGCTTTATATTGGGGCTGGAATGGTGGAAAAATGGCTGAATTATATGAAAATATCAAAATTTTAGAGTTTGTCATACAGAAAATCAGAAATGAAAAACACCTCTGAAAGGAAGACAAATACAATGCAGTTGTTATATTCAGAATAGATACATTCAGACTAAAAGTAAGAAATATTTTAGACAAAAAGAAACACCAGACAATTTATAGGAAAAAAAAGATAAATCAGTTCAAAAACCACACAAACACATGCATAGCAGGAAAAAAATATAAACATATTTTCTCTGCAGTAAAAAATTCGTAAATTATATAAAAGCATGCTGATAGTCTTTATTATCGTTTCTAGTTTCCATCAGAGGGTATATGTGGCTTAAAGGAATAGTACACCCAAAACATGATTAGCCTTCATTTTCTACTCACCCCCATGCTGAACAACACTCTGGAGTACTTTTTTGATATCTCAAATGCATCTGGAGATCTGGGAGGCTTCTTGCTGTCTGCTGACATTCAAATAATGGAGGTCTATGGTGCCCGAGGCAGAAAGGTCCATAAAAGTCCACAAAAAAACGTGTCAATATTCCTCCATACTACTCGTCCAATGTATTCCAAGTGTCCTGAGTGGGTAGCATCCATAATTTACTCGAAACAAAGTCATTTAGAATGTTTTTAGAGCATAAACAGTAGTGTATAGGATTTCCTAAAAGCGCGCGCCTGCGAGTTCACGAGCCTACGGAAACTGCGGCAGACCAAGCCAGATGAAAGTGCGCATTCAGCGTCTGCTCTTGATAATGCAAGCGTAGAAGAAGAAATTTGCTGTTTACCTGTGCAAAGAAAGAAACAACGAAAGAAAAATGTCTGAGGACTTCAGTGTTGAGGAAGAGCATGAGTTCTTTGCCGAGCTGAATGCGCACTTTCATCTGGTTTGGTCTGCCGCGGTTTCCGTAGGCTCGTGAACTCGCAGGTGCGCGCTTTTAGGAAATCCTTTACACTACTGTTTATGCTCTAAAAACATAGACCTCCATTATTTGAATGTCAGCAGACAGCAAGAAGCCTCCCAGATCTCCAGATGCATTTGAGATATCAAAAAAGTACTCCAGAGTGTTGTTCAGCATGGGGGTGAGTAGAAAATGAAGGCTAATCATGTTTTGGGTTTACTATTCCTTTAACTCCTACACTCTGGAAGTCAATCACAAGGTGACACAGCACAAGCAACCATCCACACATATTCACAGCTCAGGCAAATCTAGAAGACCTATCAAACCTACCATACATGTTTTTCGACTGAAGAGGAAGCTAGGATACCCTGAGAAAATACCTCGGAAACCATGCATGAGTCCAACATGCTCCGGGAACAGGTCTGAGCTAACACGGATTATACAAACCAGACTCATGCTCGGCTTGTAAAAGGACTGGATGGTCTGGAGCTTCTCCATGACACCATGACGACGCCATGCATAACCTGTCAACACAAAGCCTGTGCTGGCAGGTTATGCATTTTTAATGGATCTGTGCAATGCTTTACAGTAAGGTTGTTAAATTAAACCTAAAGTATTCAGACATTAATTCTTCTTCTACCCTTAAAGGCCACTTTTGCTCAGCATTAATGTTGGTTGGTACAGTAATCTATACTAAGTGTCAGAGGTAATTTTTTTAATTTCATGGTTTTATCTGGTGCATTATAAAAACTAGATTCCCAGGATGTTAGATGTGTAATAAAAGTTTAAAACCTAGTATTAGATCACTCTGTTATTTTCTGGGAAAATTGGAGGCTTGAGCTTTTAAATTTCACTTTAAAATGAAAAAAAACTTCCACAGAATCTCAGGTGGTGTATTTTTGTAAAATGCTGACTTTGCAGTATTTCATTCACAGGTTGCCTCTCATGGGAGTACATGAGGAGGACATTTTCCAGCTGCAGTAACTGATGAGGCCATCGGTTCTCAAGGAAGTCAGTACAGATTATGTATTTATTATATGTTTTTATTTTATTTAATTGCATACTGCCCCTGTGTTTGCCCCCTGCTACACAATGATAAAACTCTAATTTTTTGTATCTGTCATAAGCAGCATCCGCTTGTGGATTATCTAACTGCCCTGTTGTCTGTTTTTTTTTTTTTTTTTTTTTTAGGTACACTCAAATCTGGGACAGGAACATGGAGAAAATGTCACGGGTCACCACAGCCCTCGGCAGCAACAGCATCACCGGCCGAACAATGTTCTGCCACCTGGATGCTCCGGCCAATGCCATCAGCGTGTGCCGGGACGCCACCCAGGTGGTTGTCGCCGGACGCAACATCTTTAAGATCTATGCCCTCGAGGAGGAGCAGTTCGTCGAGAAGCTGAATCTGCGCGTCGGCCGCAAACCGTCCCTGAACTTCAGCTGCGCCGACGTCATGTGGCACCAGATGGAGGAGAACCTGCTGGCCACGGCTGCCACCAATGGGGCCGTGGTCACCTGGAATCTGGGGAAACCTTCCCGCAACAAGCAGGACCAGCTGTTCACTGAGCACAAACGAACCGTCAATAAGGTGTGCTTCCACCCAACAGAGGTTTACATGCTGCTGAGTGGATCGCAGGATGGCTTCATGAAGTGCTTTGATCTGCGCAAAAAGGAGTCTGTTAGTACTTTCTCAGGTAACCTGATCTGAATAATTTACAATTAAGATACATGATGTTGTTAGAAAGGTGCTTAATAATAGTTAAAGATGCAATAATAACGATACCAATTTGCTGTTTTTGTTGTTTAAGGCCCATAACCCATAGAAAAAAATATATAAAGCAGGTTTTTTTTTTTTTTTTGAAACGAACAAAAATGTTAAATAATGTAAATTAGACATAAATTAGAGGGAATCTCTATTCTTTCTTTAAAACCGTAAAGCGTTGTGAGGCTTAGAAAGGCAAAAACAATAGACAAAAATAAGAGAAAAATTGTCAGAAGATATAAAGCATCGTTGTATATAGTCCTCAATACATCAATCATACAGCTAAACCCACAATTGTTCATTTCCCTGATTTTTAGAAAGATTTAAGGTTTACTTTGAATTTTATTTGGACTTTTCCTTTTGGCTTGAAGATGTATTACTGCTATAGAAAAGCCCAGTCTTAGTCCTTATTCACTAATGACGAATAATCTAAATACCAGAGGATACATGCAAAAAGCTGTTTAATTGATGTAATACAAATAAAGAGTTTTTTATAGATTCATGAGTAAGGTAAACATTCTCAACAACCTGTTTTATTTAATTTTATGCCTTTAATTGTTATTTTGTTATCTATTTTCTCCTCTTTCCCATCTGTGACTCCTAATTCTTTACAAGCCTTTTCATTTTTTCAATTAAAACTTCCAAATAGAAAAACAGAAATGGTATTAAAAGAAAACTGGATTTATGTTTGATGGAGAACAAACAGATTTGTTTCTGTTTGTTGGGCTCTAATTTAAATTCACTTTAAACTTACCGAACCATCTTTGTTTTGTTTTTTTCTTTCATTGTTTTTGGTTCTCGTGTAGGTCAGTCAGAGAGTGTGAGGGACGTCCAGTTCAGCATGAAGGATTATTTCACGTTCGCTGCTTCCTTTGAAAATGGTAACGTCCAGCTGTGGGACATTAGGCGGCCAGATCGGTACGAGAGGATGTTCACGGCGCATACCGGTCCCGTGTTCTGCTGCGACTGGCACCCTGATGACAGGTAAGTATTTTAGTAAGGAAGCCAAGGCAGGGTTTCAAAGATTGTATTCAGGACCCCCTGAAGGAGTTTCTCTGTCTCTATTTAATTATGTTTTTGCACACCATCTCCCTTTCTGGCTTGCTTCCCTCTCAGGGGTTGGCTGGCCACAGGAGGCAGAGACAAGATGGTGAAGGTGTGGGACATGACGACAAACAGGGCCAAGGAGATCTACTGCGTCCAAACAATCGCGTCAGTTGCTCGAGTTAAATGGCGTCCAGAGCGGAAGTTTCACTTAGCCACATGCTCCATGATGGTGGACCACAACATCTACGTGTGGGATATCCGGCGACCTTTCATCCCCTTCGCTACCTTCGAGGAACATAAAGATGTGACCACTGGGATCGTGTGGCGTCACCAACACGACCCTCACTATCTGCTCTCGGGCTCCAAAGACAGCACTCTCTACCAGCACATGTTTAAAGACGCAACACGCCCCGTGGACAAGGCCAACCCTGAGGGTCTGTGCTTCGGACTGATGGGCGACTTGGCCTTTGCTGTCAACGAGAGTCTGATCAGCAGCGACGCCAGCAGGAAGCCCTACCCTGGAGGAGACCGCCGTTACCCCTTCTTCTCGTTTAAGAAGGCCAACCCCACTGAGCAGTTTGCTCATGTGTCCAGCGCTCTTAGCGTCTTTGAGACGGACTTGGACAGTAATTGCATGGACGGGTTTGTAAAAACAGCCCAACTCTACCTGCTCAGTGGAAAGCCGTTTACTGAGCTGTGCGACCATAATGCCAAGGTAGCGCAGGAGCTCAAAAGACCCCAGGTAAGATGGATAGATGGATGGATGTGTAAATTATTGAAAGGCATTCACACAGAAAGATGCCTGTGGGAAGGTTGCATTAAAGGTAAAATCCAGGGTTTATTTTTTATTTTTTCTAAAGTATAGTTTTAGCATTAAAGCCAACATGTTAATATTTGGGTCTCGTTTGATTGGAGAACCTTCTTATTAAGGAGTTTCATTTTCATGTGAAAAAAGAGAAAGTTTTTGGGTTTTTTTTATTAAAAAATAAATGTCATGAATAGTCAAGAGATTGAGAATAGAGTTGAAGAAAAGGCTGTGTTCTTTCCAAAGAGGCTTGATATGTGTCTCACATCAAGTTTGCTTTCTTTTATATCATAAAAGAGAAGATTATCCTCATTATTAAATCTTTTACTGAAGTTAATTTTCATGGGGCTCGATAATCCAGGGTCTTTGCTCCAGTGTCACTTTGACTTTGTTGTTTATTAAGCTTTTCTACTTTTTTTTTCCTGTTTAATCTTTAATCTTGAAACAGGAAAGCAAGAAAGAAAAACTAATACTTCCTACCTCCGGCTATATTTTTGCTGTTCGCTCCTGGTAGCAAACAGGACCTTCAGTGGCTCCTCTTAGGTTCCCAACCGGGCTGGGCAATATAGCTTAAAAATAACATTTCCAATTTTTTTTTCCATATGAAATCTGATCTATTTTTGTTCTCTCTTCATTTTCATGTCATTATATGTTTATTTATAAAGCACTTAAAAACAACCGATGGTTGTACCTAGCTACAGGGATGATGCATAAATGATAACATAATGACAACAATTTTAGATTGACAGAAACTGATTTAAAGAGATACTAAATAAAGCTGTGAGTCATGTTTGTAAAACAAGTTTGAAGCTATAAAGGATTAATAAAAAAAGCAAATTTTAAGCTATATTATATCTGTAAAAATGTTAAAAAGCTTAAGCTTTTCTTCCACTTTTAACTGTTTTGTTTTCAAACTTTACATTGTTTAAGATGTGACCAAATGTGGAACATTTTTGATTGAAAGGTTTCCACGACGTGGACCATGCTGAGAATCATGTTCTCTGAACCGGCACCCGGTCCAAATCAGAACCTCAGCAAACTCGGCAGCCTGCCGCTAATGATCAGGTGATCAAGTGAACAATCGATGGAAGCTACTACTGCTGCTCATATAGGAGCAAACCTGAATGGTTGGGTGTTTTCTGCTCTCAGCTTCAGCATGAAAGACTTGGGTTCAGTGATGGGTCCGGAGGGCAGACTGGAGCGCCACAAAGGTGAAAGCCGGCAGGATAACATCCACCTGGAGCCGGGGAATTCGCACATCAGCAACAATAATGAAGGTGCAGATTGTTGGTTCCTGACTGAAGACTGATCTAAGGGGTTTGAAACCACCTTTGATTTAAATCAGTGTTTGTATTTCAGAAAATGAAGAGACGGAGGGAAGCGACGGCCCTACAGAGTACATGTTTGGTGACGCAGAGTTGGATGACGATGATCTGTATCCAATGGAGCATGAAAACCAAGCAGGTATCCAAGGTCTTATAAAGAAAACCAGATATCTACCCACATCAATGTGTAACCCTGTGTCTGCTTCTCGGGTAGTGCCAGAGGAGCAGGTGTACACGCTACCTCCGGAAGCCTTCCAGCTGCGCCACGAGATCATTGATAACCCGTCTGCACCAGAGCATCTTCAGCAGGACAAGGCCGACTCCCCGCATGTCAGCGGGAATGAGGCGGAGGTCACCTGCTTGACACCCATTGAGACGGTCTCGCTCATCTCCATCTCTCAGCCTCTGTACAGTCCACATTTACACGGCAGCTTCTTCTGCCCCATCGTGAGGGAGATGCTGAGCCACTACGCCGAGCAGGGCGACGTGCAGATGGCCGTGTCTGTGCTCATCGTGTTGGGGGAGAGGATTCGCAAGGAGATCGACGACCTCACCCAGGTCAGAAAGCAAACATTCTGACATCTGGTCTCCTTTTTTTTTTTTTTATATGGGTACTTTATGCCAAAATTTATTTTATTGGGTTACTTGTGGAGTGAAAAAACATGTTTTCTCCTCAAAGGAGCACTGGTACATGTCCTACATAGACCTGCTGCAACGATTCGAGCTGTGGAATGTGTCCAACGAGGTCATCAAGCTGAGTACATGCAGCGCCATCACCTGCCTGAACCAGACGTCCACCACTCTGCACATCAACTGCAGCAACTGCAAACGGCCGATGAGCAACAAAGGGTGGATCTGTGACAGGTACACAGCAGAATCACTGCTTGGCCTTGCAGAGCAACTCTGCAAGTTAGGGTCTAATGCAGTTTACATTTCATTTCTTTCTTCTTAAAAAGGCTCAGAAATTGTTCCTTTTATTATTTATATTTTTATTATTTAAATTAAGTTTAATGTTGCATTCTGTGAAAGACACGTCGTTGTTTTGGATCTTATGAGATGCAACGTTTCTGCTTTTTACTGGAAGCTACAGGTGTCTGATGTCAGATTGCACCTGGAATATGCAAAGAATGAGAGAACCCAGGAGTTAACCTTGATTTTTTTTTTTTTTTTTTTTTTTTTTTTTTTTACTTAATGGTTAAAAAAAACTAGGCAACACTGCATTAGTAGCACCAGTAATAATTGTAGATCTATTTTCTTGTCATTTGGTTGGTAAACTAGTTGCTATGTTTTGACATTTTTAATCAGATTTTAAAGACTAAATCTGTAAAAGTAAATGTTTATTCTTTAAAGATACCATAACATTTCCAATTGTAGATATTTATCAAAAATTAAGTTGCATTTTTTTCAACAGGTCATCTAACAGTGACTCTAAATGCGCTTTATCTGAACTGAGAGCAAACTGGCTTTCAGGCTTCTGACCTGCACCATTCTTCCTCCAGGTGTCGCCAGTGTGCCAGTGCCTGTGCGGTGTGCCACCATGTGGTGAAGGGGCTCTTTGTTTGGTGTCAGGGCTGCAGCCACGGTGGACACCTAGAGCACATCATGAATTGGCTAAAAAACAACTCCCACTGCCCTGCAGGATGTGGTCACATGTGTGAATACACATGATGAGCGCGAACAACGTCCAGGTGCCTCGGAGAATTCACAGTTGCTCATTCTTCTGTGTCCTCAAACTTCAAAGAACATCTTCCATTTTTGGGACATTTCAACTATAAGAACTCTGGACACCATGGGATGGATTTCAGTTTAGAAACTAAACAAACAGCTAGGCTACCAAATAAATTCTTAAACACATTTTGAGATTAATTGCACCTTTATTTTTTTTACAAATCTTTATTATAAAAACAAAAAACAGCTACTCTGATGGGTTAAAATAAGCACACAATTGGATGAGGTTAGCATTACAGGTGCTGGTCATAAAATTAGAATATCATGAAAAAGTAGATTGATTTCAGTAATTCCATTTAAAAAGTGAAACTTGTATATTATATTCATACATTACATACAAACTCATATATTTCAGATGTTTATTTGGTTTAATTTTGATGATTACAAATGACAACAAATGAAAATCTCAAATTCATCATATCAGAAAATTAGAATATTACTGAAGACCAATAAAAACAAAGGATTTATAGAAATGTTGGCCAACTGCACTGCAAAAAATAGAAATCTCAATAAGTTATTTTTTCTTAAAATAAGTGCGTTTTTCCTTGATTTGAGAAGGTAAGTAAGACACTTTGCCAATGGAACAAGACAATTTCCTTTTAAAATAAGAAAAAACAATTTTTTCTTCTTATTTCAAGTGCATATTATCTAACTATCTTATTTTAAGAGTGAAAATACTCATTCCATTGGCAAATCATCTTATTTACCTGCTCAAATTAAGGCTAAATATCCTTAATTTAAGCAATTTTTTACTTATTTCTGGATTGTTTTTGCAGTGTGAAAAGTATGAACATGAAAAGTATGAGCATGTACAGCACTCAGTATTTAGTTGGGCCTCCTGTGGCCTGTATTACTGCAGCAATGCGGCGTGGCATGGAGTCGATCAGTCTGTGGCACTGCTCAGGTGTTATGATAGCCCAGGTTGCTCTAATAGTGGCTTTTAGCTCTTCTGAATTGTTGGGTCTGGTGTATTGCATCTTCTTCTTCACAATACCCCATAGATTTTCTATGGGGTTAAGGTCAGGAGAGTTTGCTGGCCAATTAAGAACAGGGATACCATGGTCCTTCAACCAGGTACTGGTAGCTTTGGCACTGTGTGCAGGTGCCAAGTCCTGTTGGAAAATGAAATCTGCATCTCCAAAAAGTTGGTCAGCTGCAGGAAGCATGAAGTGCTCTAAAACTTCCTGGTATGTGGCTGTGTTGACCCTGGACCTCAGAAAACACAATGGACCAACACCAGCAGATGACATGGCACCCCAAACCATCACTGACTGTGGAAACTTTACACTGGACTTCAAGCAACGTGGATGAAGTGCCTCTCTTCTTTTCCTCCAGACTCTGGGACCTTGATTTCCAAAGGAAATGCAAAATTTACTTTCATCAGAGAACATGACTTTGGACCACTCACCAGCAGTCCAGTCCTGTTTCTCTTTAGCCCAGGCAAGACGCTTCTGACGCTGTCTGTGGTTCAAGAGTGGCTTGACACAAGGAATGCGACAGCAGAAACCCATGTCTTTCATACGTCTGTGTGTGGTGGTTCTTGAAGCACTCACTCCAGCTGCAGTCCACTCTTTGTGAATCTCCCCCACATTTTTGAAAGGGTTTTGTTTCACAATCCTCTCCAGGGTGCGGTTATCTCTCTTCCTTGTACACTTTTTTCGACCACATCTTTTCCTTCCCTTCGCCTCTCTATTAATGTGCTTGGACACTGAGCTCTGTGAACAGCCAGCCTCTTTAGCGATGACCTTTTGTGTCTTGCCCTCCTTGTGCAAGGTGTCGATGGTCGTCTTTTGGACAACTGTCAAGTCAGCAGTCTTCCCCATGATTGTGTAGCCTATAGAACTAGACTGAAAGACCATTTAAAGGCTTTTGCAGGTGGTTTGAGTTAATTAGCTGATTAGAGTGTGGCACCAGGGGCCATCAATTTTGAACCTTTTCACAATATTCTAATTTTCTGATATGATGAATTTGAGATTTTCATTTGTTGTCATTTGTAATCATCAAAATTAAACAAAATAAACATCTGAAATATATGAGTTTGTATGTAATGTATGAATATAATATACAAGTTTCACTTTTTAAATGGAATTACTGAAATCAATCTACTTTTTCATGATATTCTAATTTTATGACCAGCACCTGTACATCATTAAACCTATACCTAATTACTCACATATTAGAGCTTCTGTAAATCATAGGCTGAATCCCAAACCACCCTGTAACCACTAACCCTTCGCTATCAAGTGTCACTCGCAATAATATTAAAATAATTGAACTTTATTGATCTCACATTGGAGAAATTTACCTCTGCATTTAAAGTCACGCCCACAGCTGTTGAAGGAGCCTTGGTTGTACATTGGGGGTATAAACATGAATGGGACGGCCTCTTTTCTTCAACAGAAAGTGAAAGAAGTTGTTCCTATGGCAACACAGTGGCAGCGTATGTGTATGGTTGAGGCTGTGGTGCAGAAACATTTGCCATTTTCTTAAAAATGTATCTATCTAGTCAAAACTTTAATTTTAAATAGGACCTTCCATTTAGGGATTTAATCATTTTTTTAACTATTTTATTTTCTGTCAGTGGAATGAAGATAAAGCAGACCAGCGGAACTTACATTTGAATGCATGTTTTCTCCGCCACTAGTTTGGAGTTACACCTGCTGCCAGATTAGCAAGCCTGAACTTATCCAGACTTGCTATTTAAGTCCTGAAAGGCGCACTCACCTTACCCTACTTTGGGATGGCACTTAATGTGGCAGACTAGGGCTGGGCAATATAGAAAAAAAGCTTATCGATTAAAAAAAAAAATGCATATTGATCGATATCGATAATTATTGAAAAGATTTGAAACCATATTTTATGTGCAGCTCTGCCTGGACTTTTTATAATATTGCTAAATGATTTAATTTTAATAAAAAACACAGACTTCGAATTAAATCTTTATTTAACCAACTTTTTTAACCATAACAGAATTGTTTTAAAGAAAAATAACTTAAGAGACCTGAGTTATGTTATTAAATACTGACAAAGAATAAACTAAAGTGACCAGAAAAGTGACCAAAATAAATATAACAAATAAATAAATGCCCCCCCACCGCCGCCGCCCCCGTTTCCTGCTTTAACCTGAGTTATTACTTTGAAGTTTCTGGCCCCACAGCATTTTTATCTCAATTGTTAGAACTACGTGGGAAACTGCCCAGAACTGAAAATATATATATATTTCTGAAGATTCCTCGGAGGAGAGCCGCGCCGGGGCCTTCACAGCTCGTACTCCTGCGGGTATGAGCGGCTGAGATGATAAAAAAAAAAAAAGTTGGTTGTGTTATCAGACTTCGTTTTCACTGGTTCCCGACACATTTTCCAGATGACTGTGGTTTGTTTTTGGTCCGACTTGCCATGATCGAAATACTGCCAGACTGCCCAACTACAAAAACCCTTCTTTGAAACAATTTCCTCCACCTCTCCTTGCTGCGACATCTTCATGTGCTCTGTGTTGTGGTTCAGAGGGCGGCGCTTGGTGACGGCATGCCTGGGTCCGCGATTGTGATTTGTTGGGAGGAAGCAGTGACTAGCATAAACCTACATGCTAGGCTACAATGAGAAGGAAGGAAAACTGCGTTTCTTTTTTATCTAACTTTTATCGACCCTCTTTTTTTCTATTGCGCCACACGTCTATCGATCGATATATATCGTTATTGAATTATCACCCAGCCCTATGGCAGACCCTCTTCAGGAACCCACAGAGGGTTAGTGCTTAGGGGCCGGTTTGGGATTCCGCCATGGTGTTGGGGGAGGAGGGCTCCACATTGAGCAATTCAGTTTGTTTATATAGCACCAATTCACAGCACCTCATCTCAAGGCACTTTACAGAGAAAATTCAAACAGATCATACAGTCTGATTGATTGCAAGTTTTCTTTTCAAGGAAAAACCAGCTGATTGCATCGACTCATTGACTCAAAGACAATCCCCCACACCAAGAACAACTTTTGACCCAAACCTCTGACCTTTTGCAGCCTTTAACAGGTTTTTCTTCCTGGACTGTATTTAGCTCTAGGTTCTAAGTTAAAACAATTGAAACACCACAGCAGGTTGACAAACGGGACAATATGAGCTGTACTTGGATTGATTTAATCTATTCAATAATGTTTTAAGAATCAACAGGAAGTTAATTTTAAAAGCAGAAAATGTGAACACTCCACATCCTCATCATGACTCGGGTCGAACCAGAGTACTAGCCTCTGACCGCCTCCTCTTTTTCCTCTCTTTTCATCTACTCCACAAGTTCAACACACCAGCACAGGCGTGTGAGGATCACAATCCTCCCTGCCTGCTTGTAATTTCCCTGCAGCAGCTGTGTTGCTCCTGCCCTCATCTGGCGAGCTCAGGTCCTTCAGCCAATGACAGGCGAGCTGCAGATCTGCGCTGCTTTCCTCCAGCAGGTCTGACCTTTCCTTCTGGCCTTTCACCCGCTTCACAGAGATTGTTCAGGGTGGTATGATCACCCTCCGTCAAAGTATTTGCAGTAACCTCTTTAAAATATATAGCGAAAGGTAAAGTTCGGTTAATTTAGGGTGAGAGGAGAGATCTGGAACCCATAGGAGCAGATCTTACCTCTTAAGGCAGGCTAAGGGCGTTCCCAGCTGTCTGAAACTTTTTCTGGGGCACTCAGTCGCCTCAGACTCTGAAGCAGTGTTTCCAGGGTCCCTGCTGTGATCACAGATCAATGAAATGTCAGAACTTGGACTTCAGAGAGGATCCAAAGCATTTTAATCTCTGAGTTATACTCAGCGTACCCATTTTATCTTGATAGGACTCCAGCTTCTTCATAAGATCCACTATGTTAGAACATCGGATTCCCTCTGCAAGAAAAAAATGCAAATTTATAAAAAAATGCATCTGAAATTTAAACCAATGCTGCATCAGAGCAGACCTTTATCAGCAGAATCTCTTCCTTCAGCTTCCAGGCCTGGGTTGGAACCGCTTTTCCCATCCGCCATGAAGTAGGACAGCAGTTTGGCCTGACAGGCCCTCTCCTTCATCAGTGTGGCGCTGATGTCCTGAGCCAGCCGGTGATTCTCTACCAGCTCAGAGTGAACCTTCTTCCAAGCCATTTTGTCCTCCATCA